TTGGAATGCTGCTAATGTGGCATCCTTAAGCATAAGTGCGATGATCCAGCACTACCCGATGGCGCCTACCCTGGAGCGGCGCGTTACAGTTTCAGGACATTGACGATCAATCACGCTAGAATGCTGACGTCAATAGCACGTGCATAGCTTCTGAATACACGTCATTGACGGATGGTGTCAGCCAATCCTAGACAGTGCAGACAGAAGCAAGATTATGCAAACAGTGCTGCAATCCAAGTGGTGGATGCCCAGATGGCCAATAATCTCCCTTTGTACATATTATTTAATCACCTCCATTTCTTTCAATAAAAGAACTACTTACCGCCTGTTCTCTGGCCTTTTCCTCGCGTCTCGTTCTCGCTTCTGCGATTCAGTCCGTGATAGCTGATTATCGATTCGGGTCCTGTAATTCATGTTGCATGATTGGTGTTCCGAATTCCGTGCATATTACTACTACTACTACTACTGCCACTGAAATCATTACAAATTGGCCTAGCGGGATGAAGCTTCCAACGATTGAGCAACTGAACCTGCAAGCAAGTCCATTCGAGATCGAGGAATGGGTCGAACGGTTCGAGTTGTGTTGCAGCATTAGCAAAGGTGCAAAGGTACACAGAATCAGTCAGCCCTATTTCTTAATGCTGGTGGCCGTGACCTGTACTCTCTGTTGAGAAACCTGGTGTTCCCTGAAGCTCCAGCCAAACTACCATTGGAGTCCCTGAAATCGCTGCTGCTCAACCACCTGCTGCCAACTGAATTCCAAGCAAATGAAAGGGCCGAATTCAACTCCAAGATTCGTGCCGATCCTGTTTCCTGCCGTGAACTCATCCTGCAACTGAACAAACAAGTATCACGTTGCAACTATGGTGATTGCCTGGAAGAAAAAATGTATAACCACTTGGTGGTAGGCATCAATAATCTGACTCTTCAACGAAAGTTGCTGGAGAATAAAGATTTAATCTTTGCTGATGCCCGCAAGATCTGTGAGCAACGACGACCTGATGAAAGCCACTTCCAGCGAATCACTCACATTATTCCAACGGCAGAAGACACGACCGAACCGACCTCCATTGCCCACGAGTGTACCCAAGCCGCAACACGCGTTTTCAAGCAACGAGAAGCGTATCAATCCCTGCTTGTCATATGGAGCTTACCATCTGCACTCCAATTGCGGCTTCCGAAATGCCAATTGTCATGCATGCGGGAAAACTGGCCACATTCGGAGAGTGTGTAAACAGCCCCGTTGCAATCTTGCACAACCGACTGCTGCAAATGACACAAATCTAGTGCCCTCTCTACGATCCGAAAGCCAACGCACCCAATTCCTATGCACAGATGTGACATTGCAGTCCGGCACAAGGCACAAATTCATTGTTGATACGGAAAGTATGAAATCTATCATTTCTATTGCTGTGCTTCGATCAATCTGCCCCCAAGCCGAAATCCATCCAACATCCGTGCGAATCCTTGGGGTGACTGGACTCAAATTGCCATTGCTTGGTGAGATTTCATTGATCGTACATTCCAAAGAACATAGCCTTGTTCCCATCCGCTTCTTAATTGCTAAAAACAGTTTATTCATACTTGGCCTAACCGCCACTCGTGATTTGAACCATTGTGTGTTGCTCCATACAAACTCTATGTCCAATATGCACACCCATCTACAGCACCTGGTCGTGAAATGTTTCAATAATATGGGAGGTATGAACGTACAGCCGGCCGAATTGGAAGTTGATGGTAAACCCATTTTCCTGAAATGACGTGAAATTCCCTACGGCCAACGTGACGGTGTACTACAGACCCTTGAAAAACTGGAGCGCGATGGCATAATCACACGAGTCACATCCAGTACATGGGCAACGCCAATCGTGATCGCAATCAAGAGTGACGGCAAAACCGCGAATTTTGTGGCGGCTACCGCTTAACACTCAACCCGCGGGTGCGAATGTGGGCGGTTACCACCATGGAACCGGAGGATTTCATGCAAGCATTGCACGGTAGTACATGCTTCTCGAAGATTGACTTGGCCGAAGCATACCTCCAGATTCCACTTGCACCAACCTGCCGGCATTTCACTACTATCAACACACCATGGAGACTGTATCAATACAACTTCCAACCGTTTGGTCTCCTTACATCCTCCGGCATATTTCAAGCTGCAATTGACGAAGTCATCCGTGGACTCGATGTCGTGTTAGGGTTCCAGGACGATGTCATTGTATTTGGCACAACGAAGGCCGAGTGTACGTCAACCAATTTGCAATTGAGTGACGCGTAGCCGAACCGATACGAATCCCGAAGTAAAACCACAATTGATCCGCAATGTTCTGCGGTACTGGGTTAACGACATCATTA